TTAATATTTTAAAATTATACGTAAATGCGCCATCTTGCCCCACCCGTGGGGTAAGACGGGAATATTATTTTTATATACAAGAAAAACAAATTAAAATGGTTAAACTGTCGTTTTCTTCAATATTGGCACAATAACAATGCGCCCGTTTATCACAGCGGCTACATTTATTATTATTTTCCGAATAAATAAATATAAAAGTTTCAACTTACTCGTATTTACTGTACCAGACGATAGTCACTTCGCGCATGCTCAGTTTCGCTATTTTGTAAGCAGACGATATTTGTTTTGGTGGAAAAAATTTTTATTTCGATTGTTATTTCACATTTTATTTCTCGTTAGGATAGTATTCAAATTAAAAAAATGATTTCACGAATAAAATAAAACGTAAATAATAAAGTAATACAGTATGTACTGTATAAATTTATTACAGTGAGATATGATTTAAAAGTGAAATATTTAATTTTCTACAAAAAGATCATTCTTATTATTTTATATATTCGAAAAAAATGATATAGAACTATCAATGACAACGAATTTAAAACTAGTTCGCTGCACTATATTGCGGTGTCTCTAGCCAGCGGCAGAATTCGTGGCCAACCTTGGGCAAGATGGGATACCCCATCTTGCCCCAACGTGCACTTTTCGTACCGACTGCAAACACGGGCCAACTTTATTTCAAAACTAAACAATTTCGGTCTTAGAGGTTACTTTGAATATCGTAATATCTTCATCTAAAAGTTAATGTAAAAGTTCACTATGATATTTACTTTGTAGCGGGCGTAAAATTAGACGAAGTATTGCCGACACGTGGAAAACTGTCCTACTTCCGAACAAATAGAGCGATTAGGACGTTCTCTCGTCCCGTGATCCTTTTTTGAGGTTGACATTTAGTTCCCCAAATAACAGCTAGACGAAAGCGCGTTAACCACGAATAAACAGACGTCCCCGTCTTATCCCATGGCCCCATCTTGCACCACCTTCCTCTATAATTGTATATCCATCACACATTTTATTTTAACGAGTAAGTTTTTATAATTTTATTTTTAATTTTAACCCTTATATCGTGGCTAGCGATTTAGAATGTATTTGTGATATTGAAAATTTATTTCAAAAATTTTTGGCTCGAGACCTTATAATGAAAAAGAAAACATTAAAAGAAAAAGGCCAATGCCTAAGTTAAATATAAATACGTCGACAAAAAAACTTTGTTCGACATTTTCACGATAAAATTTATGAAGACTTAAAATGGCTTTGTGAATGCATAGAAATGCAAAAATTGTTTTGTTGGCCTTGCCTATTATTTTCAAATAAAATTATTGTGTAGAATAAGAATGGCTTTGACGATCTAAATAATTTGAGTAAAGTTCGCAAAAGACACGAAAATCGTAAATCTCCATCGATTCTTTCGTAAAATTGAAGCAATTTGGAAATCAAAATAGAATAAATTAAACAATATAAAATAAATGTTGAAAATTATAACAAAGTTACGGCTAATAGATATACAGTATTATATTTAAATTAGTAGATGTTATTGAAGCAAGAATTGGCATTTAGAGGGCGTAGGGAATCTATTGAATCTTATATAACAAAGGTAATTATATTGAACTTGCTTATTTATTAAGTGCGTTAGATAACCTCTTAATTAAAGATACATTTAGAGAAGTCTACGGTTTTTACTGGCTTATCGAACAAATGAATACGAATGGACCCTAGACCATCGCTGACTGATTGCCCCTGAAAGTCGGCTTCTTACAGAAACACAGTTTCCCTATCATCAAATGTCACGGCACACCACTGATAGTGATAGCCATGTAATGGGATCAGTTACATGATGACAAAAGTCCCAATCCCAACAAAACAGTCAATGGCTACTGTAGATGGGCAAGATTGTTGAAATTAACCTTCTGCTCAGTCACATTGGCTCAAATGCTTATAAATGACTTGAGGTCTGAATATCACACCATGTTCCTTGAAATTCAGCTATTTCTATCATTCATTCAGCCATTTATGACATACTGTCTCTTAGCATCTGCAGGGCAGAAAAAGTTAATGAAGGTGTCTGACTATCCAAATCAGACCACTGCATTAAAATTTCCTAAATTTCTTACCTAGATTCAAACCTAAATTTGACAACCCTTGAAGAACTTTTATGTCCGGTAACAAAAATGTTTAATAAATTGTCCAACAAACGTGTTATTAGCACCAGTAATTAAGTTGAAAGATATCTTTAAACCTAAATTTCTCATAATGTAAATATTTTTATAGCTGTCAAAAATGAACTATCAACAATCAATCTAAACAATGAAAGTTAGTTCCTGGTTTAAAATAAATCAAGCATTTTTGCCTAGCCTAGTATCTGGGCAAACTAAGGATTTTTTACTTTCGGCAAGAAACGTGTTTGCTTTTTGGTCACTAATGTGACTGGAATTTCTCATTTTGTAAACTTCTGTGACAGTAAAAATTTCCTCCTCAACTTTCTCTGGATCTTCTGAGGAGACTCCTGTATGTGTGTGTGTAGATCTTTGCAAAGACAGACTTGTTCATATGGATTTTACTTTATTGAACCTGGTGACAACACTCAACTTTCCTTCAGAAGTTTACCTATGTCTATTTTTTAAAGAGATTAGACTTTTGAAGTAATATTTTGTGAGATGCGCAATGCATCTTTTAGGTCAAATTGTGTTTAGCATACTGATCCCGCTTGTAAGATAACAATATAGTGTATAGAACAGAACAGAACAGCTTTTGCAGCTTTCACCATCCACCAGCTCAAAATGTCATTCACAATATCAAGCAGCAGCATTTTAGAAATTTAACCAAATTCCTTTTTTTTTTGGATAAAGTTAAATAGTATCTGTATCATCAATACAAGATACGTAGTGTAATTCAATATCCGAAACAACATAATTCATCATCATCAACATTTTGAAAAAAAGTATCTTTATTACTTAAGTGTGTGTATAATAATCTTTATAAAGTAACTTTTCAAATTTCATTTTTCTAATTGCTGAAAAAAAAAGTACAAATAATTATAAGACTAAAATCAAGAAATAAATTTAAAAATTCAATAAAACATTCATTCATACATTACTTAATTTAAAAGTTTAAATTAGAAATAATTTACGAAACATTTTATTAATTAAAAACTTATGTATTGTTAATTTTCCATATACTATATGATATAAAATACTTTTGAAATTCAACAATTAAATATTAAATTTTGTTTAAATAACAAGCCGCACTTCAATGATACATCATAAAAATAAAACATTTCTATGATCTGTCTTTGTAAGTACTTTTTAACAATAGATAGCATTTGTGCATAATAAAAATTCCAGAGATATTTAGATTTTATGATAGAATTTCAAAGTTTCTTGCAGTTAAAACAGCTTGGAATGAAACAGATTTTGCATCTGATGATATTTCTCGTGTCGTCGCAAGCCTTTGGCGGATTTGAAGCTACTATTACAAAGTTTACATTGAAACGGTTTCTCAGCACATTGATATTTCTGATGATATATTAAACTTACTTTTTCTTTAAAACTCTTTTCACACCGTTCACACCAAAACAATATTTCTAAATTTGAATGAATTCGCTGATGTTCCTGTAAATTTATCTCAGAATTAAAACATTTATTGCAAACTTCACACTGGAATTTATCTTTGGAAAGATCCGAATTACGGCTGGTAAAATCACATCTAATCCAAACTGGTTTATCATAAAACTCACCTTGGTTTTCTTTAGAATGAGTATTCAGATGATTTATTAAATCTGCTTCCGAATTAAAATTATTCTTGCAAAGTTCGCACTGAAAAGATCTTTCCTCAAATTGGCATTTCGGAAATATGCCCAGATCTGACTTCGTCTGAAAGTTATTTTTGTATGATACTAGCTCGAAAGGGGAATTTTCGGAATTAATATCTTGAATGTTACCGATGTTTGATACAGTCTGAAAATTATTTTCGTGAGTTACAATATCAAAAGACGTGTCTTTGGAATGGAAACTCTGATGCCACTGCAAACCTGATTTCGATTTATAGCTCTTATCACATAAGTGACATTGGAATGGTCTATCTTCGGAATGTGTCTTCAGATGTCTAATAAATTCTGATTTTACGTGAAAACTTTTTATACAAAATCCACAGTGAAAGCGTTTCTGTTCCGTATGTTCTTTTCTATGACGTAGTAGACTGGATTTTGTTTCGTAACTTTTCTCACAGAAATCACAATGAAAAATCTTGTTTCTGGAATGATGATACACCTGATGTTGGATAAGATCGGATGCTTTTATAAAGGTTTTATTACAATGTACGCAGTGTGGAAAATTCTCATTAAAATGAAACTTTTGATGTCGTTTTAAACTTCCTTTTGTCTTGTATCTTTTTCTGCATATATTGCATTGAAACAGTTTATCATCCGAATGATATGCTTGGTGTCTAAGAAACTCCAATCTTATTTGAAAACTTTTCCCACAAAAATCACACCAATAACATTTTTCTTCTGAATGCTCTTTCAGATGACGCAACAAGCTTGATTTTAATTTGTAAGTTTTATTGCAATGTTCACATTGGAAACATCCTTCTTCCGAATGTTCTTTTTGATGGCGTATTAAACTAGATTTTAATTTATATTGTTTCTCACACTGTTCACATTGAAAAGGTCTTTCTTCATTATCTATCTGATCCCAGATGAAAACTGACTCACTTTCGACATCCTGTTTATCAGGTGTCGACGATAAGCATTCGTCGTCAAAATAATTTACGTGATGTGAAATATCTAAATTGTACTTAAATCTCATATTAAAAAGCTTGCACATAAGAGATTTCCCTTTATAATGCACTTTTTGATGTGCTTTTAAGTCCGATTTATACTGAAACGTTTTTTTACAAATCTTGCAACGTAAAGGCATTTCTCCTAAGTGCACTTCTTTGTGTCTTTGTAAATAAAATTTAAAAAAGAAGTTTTTCTTGCATTTGTTGCAACTCAGAGGTCGCTTACCATTGTGTAGAGAAACATGTGATTTGTACACGAAATTATACGAATAAACCTGCTTGCAAATCTCACATTTATGTTTCTCCCTGGGACGAAGTTTTAAATATTTTTTTAAAAAATGTTCCTTCATAAATTTCCTTTTACAAATTGTATATCGATGCATTTCCGAAGTTGATGAAGATATGTATTTGTCTCCACAGAGATCATCTTCATAATTATATTCATCTTTAACTTTTTCTCCATTGTTAAAATGAACATAATTGTGTTCTTCTTTTACATATCCTGAAAATATAAATAATTAGCTTAAATTTTATTTTTAAAACCTACTTGAAAAGTTAGTTATTTGTCCATGTTATGAAATAAGACAAATCATAAACTAAAATGTTTGTATAGCAATAGCCAATCTTTGAAAAAAGGAAACTATAATTTAAATGAGTCACGAGCACCCCATGGCACCTACCCCACACGTGGTCCCAGAGTTTTGGCAACACAGTTTTATGTTTTCTGTCTCGTCCCATTATATAATCCTAATTATGCTGATATTTGTGGCAGACAACTTTAATAGTGAAAAGATTAGAATAAACTGTATATTACTATTTTGTGTATCATTATTAGAATATATTATTTTAGTATTTAATGTATGATACTGGCCATTAATGAGTATTTTGGTACTTTGCAAGCTTAAAGCCTGCAACTTCATAAGAAAAAATGTGATCTGCAGGAATCCTACAAAGTTCTCTTGCAACCCTCATTTAGAAAAGGTCATTCATCAGCAATTTTAATTAATTGATAATTTTCACATTTTTTATACATTAAAATCAGTTTATAGTCCAACAACAGTGTGAGATCCGGAATTTTTACCGACTATTTGCCGATTAATTGTCCCGTATTTGCCTAAAAGCTAATTAAATTTTCCTTTAACTTAAAGTGAAACCTAACGGGGAAAAAAACTTTTCGTTTATGTTCAACATAAACATCCGTTCAATTCGAAACTAATCCTGCATTCCAACTCCAAAGTTGATAGTTAGCATGGTCCCGGGAACAACTCTGACCCATCTGCTTACCTTTTACCTCACAACAATCAATCACATGACCATTCTCCCACGCTGATCTTATAAAAACCCCTTCCTTCCCCTTCTCGGGGGAGTAGTTCCAGAGCAGGTGCCAGGAGCCGATAACTTTAAAAATAGTGTTCTTTTTAATCAGTGAACTTTCCTAAATCAACGATTCAAATTTTTAACCAGTGAACTCTCCTAATCAGTGAAGTTTTGACCAGTGAATTTTCCTAATTCAAAGAGTGGATAATTTTCCTTAGGGGATAACAAATCAAGAGGTATGGATCCAATTATTGTAAGCTCTCTCTCGGTCTCTTCGTGTTTTAGGGACGCGAACTAGACGATGTACTACCCGAAACTTGCTTTAATAAATTGTTAATTTTCTTATGTTACATTTGGCCTACTCATTTACTCGTATATCGCCTGTCGTCTCACCGACGCACTCCTCCCTCTGCCACTCGACTCGAAACGTTAAAGCCTGTTACTGCGGGAAAGGGACTCTTTCCACCCATCCTGACCGTGAAAGGGTTTAACAACCTGTTGCCGGATCGGGAGACTACCCTCCCTTCCGGTGGTTTCACAACAGCATAGAATTTGAAGGTCATTAGCCATGCTGGAATTGACAAATATCACCAGATGCAAAAGACTACACCAGTCAATTAAAATTTAAAATTGAAAAATAACTTGTCCCAATGCATAACCCACACAAACATGAGTTATCTACACAAAGTTATTGTACGTTGTCCCAGATCTATCCAGGTTCCATCACTCACCACCCAGATAACTTCATTGTGGTCCTGGTTGAACCCATGATGAGTGTCATTAAAAGACTATCCAGATATAGTGCCCATAAGGCAGATGAAAAACTAATGGATATTCTGATTTTATTCACTACAATATTAAAAGCACAAGATAAAAGGATAAATGAGTAATGTGTTATTAGTTATATTTAATATTTATAATAATAATTCACCCAGAATTGATTACCCGTTGTTTTTTGCACTATCATTTTTAACAGCAGCTACCATTTAAATGACGTAAAATAAATTCCAGCAACTGAAACTACTTACTGCAAGCAAACAATAATTAAAACTAATTTTAATTTTCTAAAAATGCATTCTATCATTTTCTATTTCTATGTGGAACATTACTCCATAATAATGAATGCCTTTTGTTATTTCCCATCTTTATGTATTTTCCTTGCTGTACACATCATTTTTCTACTTCCATTACTTACCGATGATATTAATTTCTAGTGTAAATTAATATGGATATGGAAATAAAGCATACGCTATGCTATAATATTCTACATAGAAAAAAAAATTTGACGTTTAACATTTAAAGCAATGATTAAGATTGATAGTAACAGACAGTAGCTTGAAAATGCCTATTTGGTTGAAGATAATGATAACTACAATCAAAACTGATTGCCGTAAACAAATTTTTATAAGTGTATTTTCCATTGAGTTTAATATTTACAATTTTTTAGTTATCAATTCAATCATAAATCTTAATTAAGAGATACGTTTCTTAAAATAAGTTATCTAAAGCTATAAAGTAATGATTCTCAACCTTTCTGAGATCCTGGAACACATTTAATCATTTGGTTCAGTGTTTTCTAGTTTCTGTACAACACTGGAAGGTTTACATTGACACACTGATTCTACGTAATAAGAACCACAGAAATGTCCTATAATTTGATAGTTATCGGTAGTTTATTATGGGTCACCGATAAACCAATGTACAAAATCTTGAATTTTAGCCAAACCTCCATAACTTGAAACTTTTTAACTCAAAGTCTGAATTTTTCCCCCAGACCAATTCTAGTTAACCAGGTTTCACCGTATTTAAAAATTGATAAGCAATTCCATGTTTACCATCCTCACAAAACAATAGAATTAAATATGAACATAGAATTGTCTACTAACATTGTAGTATAACGTAAAAAATTTGCAATGAAAACTAAAATGTTTTGTGGAACATTTGAGGCAAGTTTGTGGAACATCAGTTGAGAATCATTGCTATAAACAATACTTATCATAATAAATAACTTTAATATATTTCATTGCTTTTATATACAAACCTTTATCATTTTCAATTACATTCTTTAATGGTAATTTTGGAGTAATTTTTACACAGTTTTTGAAAGAATCAGATGACTGATTTGAACAAGATGTACTAGAAGTAGAAACAGAATGATCTAGAGATTCGATATAATTCTTGGCATTTGTTGCGAGCTTCTTTCTTCTTTGAGACTACATTCAACAAAAAATTTTTATTGTCAGTAAGTTTAAAAAGTAATTTTACTATAATTTATTGATTTTGTAATTTAAAACATCACTAAATTATGATTTATACAAAAAATTTCACTATATTTATGCTTGATCCATTATGAAACTCTCATTAGTAAGATAGGGAGTAAGGACATTAACCATATTACTAATGAAAATGCATGAAGATCCAGTTCAGATTTAAACTCAGATCTCTCGATGCAGTAGAATATTACATCGTCCAGCATTAATGAACGATGTTCAAATAAGTACGAACTTATTTGAACATCGTTCGTTAATGGCTTTCGTTAACGGCATTCGTTAAATTCAAAGGCATGCGCGACATAGAATTTTAAAAGAACTATTCGATCGCAAGAACGAAATTATTTGAACAACATTCGTCAATCGAATTTTACGAGCTAAAACCTGATGAAGAGCCCAGAAGGGGTTCGAAAACGTTTGTTTTTATGATTAGTCGATCGTTCCACATCGTAAATTGGTTCAGTGTTTGTGTTTAATGTTCTACAGAGTTAGACAAAATGATATAAACATCAGTGACATCAATCAGTGAGTACTTTGGGCCAATGGTAAAATATATTTTATTGATTACAGGAGCAAATATGCATTTCAAGCATTTCCATCTCTCATTAGTCCTTCCATTTATAAATATGATAGTAACAAAATGGTATTATATTATTACATTTATCCTCAATTAAAAAGGTCTTCAAATACCAAATATCTGTTGATAGTCTACTCAGTTAATTTTCCATTGTCTTTGTGTTCTTGGGATATTTGCTTCACTTTGAATTCATTGTTGTTTTCATAGCTTCTTGTTCATAAAAATGTAATAGTATGTCTAGTTTCTGGGTACAAATTCACTGAGTTCAGCTTTAATAAAGTTTCTTTAGTATTAACACAATAAAAAAGTACTTTTGACGAGTGTATAACCATCGTCTTCAGGCGAAAAGAACAAGTTTTTAACAAAATGAACGTGCAGGATGTTCCAAAAGAACATAATATTTAAATTCAAACAGGCGTCCGGAAATTCCGTTACAAACGTGCGAATAATTTTTGATATTTCGAATCTTTATATTTTACGATGCTAGCGATGCATGCGTGGAGATGCTACCGCGTTGTTGATACGATGTTGGGCGCGAGGTTTTTTTTTATTGTGTTAATACTAAAGAAACTTTATTAACGCTGAATTCAGTGAATTTGTACCCAGAAACTAGACAAATATTGGTGTGAGTTTTTAAATTTATTTTTATGTAATAGTATGTCATTTTATTACCATATATTTGTAAATAGAAGAAATGATAAGGGATGGATACACTTGAAATGCATTTCCAGTCCTGTAATCCATAAAGTGTATTTTACCATTGCTCTCAATTTCTAAATGTTGTGATAAGTTCTAAGAAATGTTATGCTTAATTGGAATTACTGTGTAGTATTATAAGAACAGGAAGCTATGAAAACTATATATATATATAAATAGAAAAAAGTATTTTATACTGTTTTCTTCCTTAAAAATTCTTCTTCAATGGATTTGTTATAATAACTTCCACAACCATGAAAATGAATCATCTGAACCAGAAGAATATGTAAACGAAACTTTGTGAAATTAAATATTATTATATGTGCAAAAATAAACTAATTATTTAAAATTATTGCTATAGAAAATCTTTAATAAAAGAAAAAATATCAAGGAAACAGAAAGCAAATATATATTTAACAACTGGCTTTGAAAATCTGCTTACTGATCAGTAAACAGCTTTCATATTTTGCTGTATATTCACATTTTGAGATGAAGTGGTTGCTGTTTACCAATCATAAAATCTGTGATCAATAAGCAGCATCCATTTTAGAGTCTAATGTCCAGGTCGTCTATCCATTCCAGTGCTTCCCTATTACACTGTTGAATATCCAGAAATTCTCCGCCAAAGAATCGCAGAGGGAGTCTTGAATTATATGCTTAATAGTTTGAATTCGACCGCAGTTGCAGCATGCACTCCTAAAGTCCTGCTAAGCTGCCTCGTTGGGGTGGGGAGGTGACCCTGGGCAAGTTGGGCAATGTACGTCGGGAATATATTTTATATTCCTGATAAGGTCTCCCAAGGAGTGAAGTCCTTTCCAATATGCCCAGCTAAATGCTAGCATGCAAAGCAGTGTCTGTTTCCCATGTTAAAGGTGGCTGACTCCATGTCAGGAGTGACCCACTTTCCGAGTATGACGGTAGCTGACATGTGCACTCAGGCCAAGTCTTTGAATAATACCATCACTTGGTTGCCAAATATCTTTGGATATCCTGGCTTGTACAGCATTAACAGTTAAAAAAACTAGGTGATTTATTTAGAACAAAGTTAATAACTCAATTAAATATTTTAATAGTTATGAAAATTTATAACTTTTTCAAATTTTTTATAGAAAATAACATACAATCATTACTAATCATCATAAATTAAAAGTTTAAATTACTAACCTTTAAACATTCTCCATTTTCATTTTTAAAAATCAGTTTTTCACAAACAACTCTACATTCTAACTTTAATTTTGGATCATTCGTGAAATCGAATTTGATGTTTCTTTTTGAATTTCTTCCAAAATTGAATTTCATTTTCTTTGATTTAAAACCTAAACATCAGAAGAAAAACTGATCAATAATTGTGATCAAAACAATAAGACTTATTCAATTTTTCCATTATAATATATAAAAGACTTTAAATATATATATAGAAACTTTGTATATATATGTAAGCTAAGTCCTTTTTTGTCAAGTTTTAGGAATTACATGCAACATGTTTCAAATCTGTTCCACTATGAAAAAAACAATTTTAGTAAAATTTCTTTGTTTCGAATAATATTTAGGGTTGCTCTCTGCTACCATGATCTAAAAAACAGCAATATGTCACAACGCAAGGCATAGGAATACTCATAAATATAAATATCTTTACTAAACCCGATACATAGCAGTAACACCTTCAACTGCCGTAAACCATCAGGCTAAAATCTGGCAATAATAATTATAAATTACTAATAAATTTGGCCATGGAGGGAGGCTTAAGCGGCAGTTGTGGGTTCGAGTCCCGCTGCGGGCCGATTCTTTTCTTCCAGTTTATTTAATTAAATTGTAATTACTAAATTTAATACTAGATGGAACCTAATGCCTTCCTCCAGGGCCAAATTTATTACTAATTTATAATTATTATTGCCAAATTACAGCCCGATGGTTTACGGCAGTTGAAGGTTTTATAGGAACTCTCACTACTGAAATAGAAAGACTATGTAAGTATAGCAGTTTTCCAGTTTGTAGTAATATTTTATACAGAAAATTGTTATGTTCAAAAGACTTAGGCAAGTTTCCATTTTGTAGAAGTTCCTATTTAGACNTGCCTTCCTCCAGGGCCAAATTTATTACTAATTTATAATTATTATTGCCAAATTATAGCCCGATGGTTTACGGCAGTTGAAGGTTTTATAGGAACACTCACTACTGAAATAGAAAGACTATGTAAGTATAGCAGTTTTCCAGTCTGTAGTAATATTTTATACAGAAAATTGTTATGTTCAATAACTAAGGCAAGTTTCCATTTTGTAGAAGTTCCTTTTTAGACAGTTTTACTTTATACTATCATCTCTGATTCAAACTGGTTTTTTTAAGCCGAAAATTTTTAAAATTAATATTAACTTTCCTATCAATATTATGAGAAAAGCAGAGATTAGAATATCTTTAGTTTCATATATACAGTAAAAAATAATTACTTTGGGAGTCACATATATACTGAGAACAACTGAATGGACAAGTAAATATGACTACAATTAGTAAACACACTGGTTTTACTAACTCTCAAAGAACATGCTTAAAAAATTAAAATGTAGATATACAAATTGAAGATTTATTAATTAAATACTACTTATAATTATAAGCAATAATCTTCACGAGGAAGCATATAAAAAAGAAAAGAGAGAGTCGTAACGACTTCTTGGAAAAGAAGAAAAAAAGCATGAATGTTAGAAGTATGTAACAGTGTAAAATAAATGACTTTTATATATGTTCCCAGACAACTAGTTCGGAATTAATGACATATCTGAAATAAGAAAGGCCAGCATTTTACTACTATACTGTAAACAAATATAATTAATCTCTTCGTAGACTGCATACCATAACAAGGATACACTATTCAAAAACCTTATAAACTGCAGCCAAATTTATTATCAATTTCAAACGTTTTCGGTCATCTTTAATGACCTTTATCAAGAATAAACGAAAATCGAATGCTGACTGATTTGTATTAACGATAAATGCATTTAATAGTATAATTAAACAACAGTGTTTTGAATGCCAGTTGTTTAATATAATTAAACAACTGGCATTCAAAACACTATTTAAAAATTACAAAGATAACTAATAGCAAATACTTATTATCAGCCACGTATTAAGGTTAAAAATCACAGCTTACTTACATGAAGATAATGATCAAGGAAACAGAAAGTGCTGTAGCAGACAATAGAAACAGTAAAGGTGAATTACAATGAAAAAATAGAGAAGACAGAAATATGTGCTGTGATAAGATAAAACTGAACCTGTCTATCTCAAATCTCATGGAAACAAGAAAAATATTCAAGATATAGAGGTTCCTACACAGTAAAGAGTAATAGGGTTAATTGGAAGTATGGTTTTTTAATAACATAACAAGTATAGAACATATCTTATTAGGTATAAATAAAACATTTTTGACATATCTTAATAGAAATAGTTTGTCAATAATTTCTAATGCCTGACTTTTTTCAACCAATAAGACAAAAACCCAAATTTTAGCCTTAAACCACCAGTGGCTGACTGGATAAAACCATTGAACACTGATAATTGGTCATGGGTTCACACCTTGCCAACGGGCTGACATATGAAGTTTTCTGATTACACTCACATTTTTAGCATCAAAATAGAGGCCAGTTTCCCATAGAAAGTCCTCAAAGAAGCAACCCTTCAATAGATCACCCGTGTGTCAATTTGCTGTAAACAAACAAATCAAACCAATCTTGTAGTCAATCGGAGAAAAGCAGTATTAATTGAAAAATATTACTGTATTGCAAGAGATATTTCTCAACTACAATTTATGCTATCAAAATGTAGTTGCTGAGCTTTGCTTTTAAAGCTCAGCAACTACATTTTGATAGCATAAATTGAAATTTTAATTGACACATCAATCCATGATTTGAAATATAGAGGTTTTAATTAAGAAAATATTATTTGGGATAAACATGATATTGAATTTAAGCTGAAAATTCAGGAAAAAATCAAAATCAAGAGGTTTTTTATACAAATACATTCAAGATAGACAGGTTCAACTATATCTGGTAGAGAAGAGTTTAATGCCACTAAGATTTAAAGCCAATTTGGATCAAGTTTGCAGTAGTCTGCCCCATCGTATTCAATGGTAAGTAACTTTGCTGAGAAAGTGTGAAAGATGGCAGTCACAGCAGATGACCACAACCACTGTTAGGGTGAGACTATGCAGACGCGAATATAGAGCGAGTGAGAGGTTGTGAGCGATTTAGTTTTCACAAAGGAAAACCATGCACAAATGAGAAGCAAGAAATAATTATCGCTAACGAGAGCAAATTTCTGGTTCTTGCACATATCTGACAGGTTTTGATATTTATCACGTCTCGCCTCTTCTCGCCACATATTCTCGCTCGCTCGGAAAATTCGCTTGCTCGCGTCTGCATAGTCGCACCCTTACCTCAGAAAATAAACAATATCCATGACATAATGCTGGCTAATCACCACTTGAAAGTTTGCGAGATTGCTAAGGTCATGGACACATCTGCTGACTGAGTGTACAAAATCCTAATCCAAGAACTAGGAATGTTGATTTTTGTTACTTGTGCATTTTTGATTCATCTGTATAAATAAGTTTCAACTCTGATTACATCTAAAGCTTATTAATTAATTAATGTTCTGAAAACATATTTTATTCATAATATATACTATAATGTTAAATTAAATATAAAATTAAAAACTGAATAAAAGAAGGATCAATTAGCTTCTATTAAAATGGACTTGCAGATTATCCACTTTTTTTGTAACATAGCATTTATCTGGAACTGGATTGTATATAATAATCATTTCATTAATAAGCTGCAGGTAATACTGATTAGATGCCTCATGTGATATGCGCTGTTTTGTTAACTTCTTTCCTGTTCTGTGAGCAGCTGTAGTATGTTTTTTTTTTTATAAGTATATGATATAACTAGCTGTTACCTGTGATTTCGCCCATTTATGTTTATATTTCAACAACCTTAGTAATTATTATATAACACCTACCGCTGAGAATGATGATAATTGCTGAGAATCAAACTAACTGTTTTCAATTTCATCAATTTTCTGAAATGTTTACAATTGTTCTATAATCGAACCAGTATGCAATAACAAATTCAAATTTAAAACAATTTGAACATTTGGTTAAAAAATCTAAATATATAAAAATATTTATAACAATGTCTGAAGTGTTATCAATTTAATACACCTAAGTACTCAATGAAGACTAAATGTAGCGGAAAACAAAAAATTGCATCTAAAATAGTACAGTAGAAGTTGTTCTTCAGGTTAAGCCTTAATACTCTCCCTCTCCCCTCGCAGAGGAATTTTGAAAAATCCCTTCTTAGTGTGTATTTTCACGATGTACCCTAACTGTTTACCAAATTTCACCTCTTTGGGCCGATTGCAGAGACAGCGTTTACGTTAAACGACGTTTATCAACAGAACGGCCTACAGACGTTGGCTGGCTGAACCGCGGTTTAAAATGCGTTGCAAAGACGACGATCATCTATTTCTGACCATTCTCTAAACAAACTTCGGCAAAACATTGGCTCTTNTCAAGATAGACAGGTTCAACTATATCTGGTAGAGAAGAGTTTAATGCCACTAAGATTTAAAGCCAATTTGGATCAAGTTTGCAGTAGTCTGCCCCATCGTATTCAATGGTAAGTAACTTTGCTGAGAAAGTGTGAAAGATGGCAGTCACAGCAGATGACCACAACCACTGTTAGGGTGAGACTATGCAGACGCGAATATAGAGCGAGTGAGAGGTTGTGAGCGATTTAGTTTTCACAAAGGAAAACCATGCACAAATGAGAAGCAAGAAATAATTATCGCTAACGAGAGCAAATTTCTGGTTCTTGCACATATCTGACAGGTTTTGATATTTATCACGTCTCGCCTCTTCTCGCCACATATTCTCGCTCGCTCGGAAAATTCGCTTGCTCGCGTCTGCATAGTCGCACCCTTACCTCAGAAAATAAACAATATCCATGACATAATGCTGGCTAATCACCACTTGAAAGTTTGCGAGATTGCTAAGGTCATGGACACATCTGCTGACTGAGTGTACAAAATCCTAATCCAAGAACTAGGAATGTTGATTTTTGTTACTTGTGCATTTTTGATTCATCTGTATAAATAAGTTTCAACTCTGATTACATCTAAAGCTTATTAATTAATTAATGTTCTGAAAACATATTTTATTCATAATATATACTATAATGTTAAATTAAATATAAAATTAAAAACTGAATAAAAGAAGGATCAATTAGCTTCTATTAAAATGGACTTGCAGATTATCCACTTTTTTTGTAACATAGCATTTATCTGGAACTGGATTGTATATAATAATCATTTCATTAATAAGCTGCAGGTAATACTGATTAGATGCCTCATGTGATATGCGCTGTTTTGTTAACTTCTTTCCTGTTCTGTGAGCAGCTGTAGTATGTTTTTTTTTTTATAAGTATATGATATAACTAGCTGTTACCTGTGATTTCGCCCATTTATGTTTATATTTCAACAACCTTAGTAATTATTATATAACACCTACCGCTGAGAATGATGATAATTGCTGAGAATCAAACTAACTGTTTTCAATTTCATCAATTTTCTGAAATGTTTACAATNAAGTCTTCACCCATTTGAATATCGATATTGGAACATTTAAAACAAATTTAAAGTATTTAATTTTGTTGTTTTTGCTCCGAGCAATTAATTAATGAATAATTTTGTCGATTCGTACCGTTTACAGCATTTATCAAAGGAACGATATCTGTTTTTATCTAAACTTTTCTACGAACAAAGCTACCACTCGAATCGAAAAGCCCTCTAAACCTGCTATCGAGGGAGTCTAGAAAGTAGGTCAAATAACTTGTTTCTAGTCGCTGTCTGCATTGTGGCAGGCGAGAAACGCCGTCTCTGCAATGAAATTTTTCTGAACAGCGGTCTACCCGATCTATAAACCAGCCGTCGGCCTCTAAACGTTGTCTCTGCAATCGGCCCTTTAGGTTCAGCGGTTTGCTCTGGGCAATGATGAATCAATTAGTCAGTAGGTCAGGACAAGTCATTTTATATTTAGATAAATTAATGCAGTGCTTCACAACGTTTTTGGATTAGTGACAAACTTTGAATTTAACACAATTTCTATGACACACCACAACTTTTAAAACATATTATGGTTGATTATAAAAAATTTTAATGGGATTTAGCATTGATCTTTAAGCTAGTAAGCCACAACATTTATAGAAGCTTCGAAGAGTCAGTATGTCGACATAGGCATATACGCACCAACTTTTCGATAGGCTAATTCTGCAAAATCAGTATTTTAGCGAATATGCCCTTTTCCCTTAGATCAGCCAGGAGTAAAAAGGCAAAAGACAGATGAAATTTTACAAATGAGCGTATTCAAAATTCTAAAAACTAATATTTCCACAACACTCAGTCGAGAAACACCAAATTAACATATTACATTCTTATCTATTCTGTACTGCAGTTGGGACTTTATCAAAAGAAACCAACATTCTACGCGTGACCTTTAACGAGATACGGTCCCCACCAAATCCCGCTCGTTAACGGAGCACGCACCACAGCTCTATTCACTCCCCGAAGCAGTCCGTCCGATGGCATTCCTCGTGTTTTACCAGCCTTTAGCCATCTCTATTAAAGTGGAAAACGGTTGATTTTTAGCATTATTTCAAGAAATAGCTTCAGATTTTTTTCTTTTAAATTTTAAACCAATTTTAAGGTTCTTCAAAATTTTAGAGAGACTGATTTCAGGGGCTACATCTAGCAAAGGATCACATTTAGAGGCGTGGTTCCTTTGACATTTTTGCTCTACAGCTCATTTGGCTCAATTCACAGCTTGAATTGAGTCAAAAACTCTATTTTTATTGCAAGTAATAACACTACTATCACTTATTCAAGGGAAAATACATGGTGAATCATTAAACCATGAATCAAACGACCTTGAACTGTCTACTTCGCGCTTATCTAACGAACACGTGCGCAGCCATGCCTAAATTTACTGAAATAATATTCACTATCGGCGACCTCAGAACACCTAACATATTATTCAATAAACAATAGCCTCAGTTAAATCACACACGAGATCATTACTGATGCAAGTCACGGGTTCGGATCCCATCCGGATCCTGAATATAAGCCTCTACCCTTACTTCTTACTGTTAATCGGTTACGTAAATTGTAGAATAATCTTCTTATTTTCAATGTTACTTACTTATTAACGCTCCCAGAACTCATTTAGAAACACAAATGTGTAATTTACTGTCTCGCTGTTTACCAATCGACATGTTCTACGACGTCACACTCCAGCGACCTCTTACCTAACGCAGTATTATCACGAATTAATATTATTATTACATATAAAAATATTTTCCGTTTTAAAATTGAATAAATTATACATAATACTTTTTAATTTGGCAACAGTAATAACGAACCTTTCAAAATTCCCGTATTTTTCTTCGATAATTAAGTACATCTACGTCAGCGACCTCTCTAAAAAAAAAAATGACGTTTTATTCTTGTAATTACTACAATCGAACCTAATGCGGAGATGAGTCGAACTGCTTTCGGCTTCGTTTAATACTTTAGTTGTTAATTATAAAATAATTTATTCTCAAATTTATATTACGAACAAAATTAGTTATATAGTTTTTTGTATTTTTGAAATTTTTCATGTAAAATGTTATAAAATGTAGAAATGGTTAAAAGTTATATATATGTTCTAAAGAGTCCGGATTCCATTTTCTAGAATTTATTTTTTATGTAGGACAATGCATAATGTAGGATAAATTTTGTATGTGGAACAAATCGACAAATAAAAAATGGATGATTAATAATACAAAATTAATTTTATTAATAATAAAAAATTATGATTTATTTTGGATATATTTAGGTAACAATAGGCTACTTTAACGCTACATAATTTATGTACCGGTAATTATTATCATTAATTCATTATAACGTCATATTTACAGATACATATTCTTTATTCATTACGTCTGAACTTATACAGTATATATATATATATATATATATATATATTTTTTTTTTCATTCTTCGCACATTTCAATAGTTATACATCATTCCGTACCTTTTCAACAATCGTACGCGACTGCTTTTACAATTGACGCTTTTTTTAAAACTCTTTCCGCCCTGTGGGCACTAAGAGGGCCTCCTTTTGCAAGCCCATTATGGGTTCTTCCAGGCCCACAATGGGGCTGCCGGGTGGTAAGGGACGGGGCCCGACATATCCGAACGAACCACTCCCCGAAAAATTCCTGGGAATTTTTCGACCTGTTCGGAATCGAACCCGGGTCCCCCAGAGCGGTAGGCTGCCATCCAGCCGCTTACAATTGACACTTATAAGTAATTCTGCTTTGATAAGTTCAGCGAAATCCGATAGAGATTATAATGCTTCCCATGTTACGAAAATTGAAAGTATTATTTTAAAGGAAGATTTTTAGCGTTTACAAAATCTTATACATGCATTCAGAAACTAATTAAATGTTTAATACGGCGCGAGCCTACGATCGAACCCCCAGTATTAAAATAAAAACGGTTTGGTTACTGGTGAGCCACATCGAATCGAAATATATCTAAAAAATTTAGGGTGCAGTGAGCCGCATAAAAATATTAAGTAAGCCACAATGTGGCTAGGGAACAGCGGGTTGAACATTCCTGCTTTATTCGGTTGATTTTCATTCCGCCAAATTTCATTAACGTTTTCTCTTATTTTTCTCTTCGTGTATTCTCTCCCGCACTAACAATATAATCGCCTTTATTCTTTTATTTATTGCAGAAAAAGAACTGCTTGACATTTTAATACGAAAAGTAGCTAAAAATCCGTAAATACTCTGAAGTAGAACGTAAACTGTCGGTAAACTCACAAAAGTAGTCAAAAATAATCTATTGTAGTTTATTGGTTTATTATAGGGTCAGGTGTTTTCGAGTTGCAACTCCAACGAACAATGTGATCACGATTACACTCGCGCTTGTTACAGTAACAATCGCCTGCGCGACTGGAAATCGCTAGGCGTGACCACTGCTTAATTAAGAAAAAATTTGACTGTTGTCTAAATTGTCAGAAATGCAATTTGCTTTTTATATCTCAGATATGTTTTTATAGATTTAATATGTACTGTACAGTCGAACCCTCCTATAACACTGTTGATAATTCCGTTTTATATGAATTCCATGTTGTACGAGTCACTTAGATTTTACCGGGCTGTGACCGGTTCAAGTCTTTGTAAAATCTAAGTGACTCGTACAACATAAAATTCATATAAAACGGAATTATAAACAGTGTTATAGGGGTCGACTCTAATAGATCAAGTGTAGATCATAAATATACATTTAAACCAAACTTGGATTATGTTTTTTGAGGCCCTAGACGCAATTTTGTAATCAGGGTCTTTATGTAAAAGAGGTTTATCGCATTAAAAAAACAATAAAATCTTTATATAATAACTATAATTTCTGTTTATAATATACAATTTTTAAACGTTTACTAAATTTTTCAGGCATATTATCTTATTGCTATATAATTTTTTAGGGTCCTGGAGACAGAGATGGCGAAGGCGCGTGTCTTATGCTCTTATTAGGTAATCCATAACTGTCTATTTCCATTGTAGGTACAGTACATATCTACTTATACAAGCTTCAAGTTATTAAGAATTATAGAGTTAAGTTATTTTCGCAATTATACGCAATAAATCTCAGAAACCAAAGTATAAATATTAATAAATTAATAAATTTCGTGTTGAACTTTTGCACATAAAAGGAATTTTGTTTGTCTTCTTAAAACGCTTGAGGTAATAAATAAAGGCTTTTACTAAAAGGTAATTTCGCTGTTTGTACACTGAATTCTGTCAGTGTTATTAGGAATATTTTTAGCTTCTATACTTTATTATTGAAAATTAATAAAGAATAATGATTTTTCTGAATAATTCATATCATGTAATGGCTTGTTATCTAACACGAATAATGATTCTGACAAAAATTTGGAATTTATAAAAGGAAAGCTGCTTTACAATTAGCTCAATAAACAAAAGCTCCTTTAATAATTGCTCAATCAATCGCACGTGTACAATATTTACACATATATGTAAATGGTAAATTACGCATAATCTATTATAGCTGTCTGATATCAAGTGATGTAGTTGCTCTTACAATAATATCCGAAAGACAACATACGTAAATTTAATATTAAAAACATTCAAAAATTAATAAGAATTATAAATATTTTTCATATTTCACTAACGTTTTCGAGGAAAAACATGAAGCATTGTCCATTATACTTATATGGTCCTATCTTCTCTACAGTAAAAGCATACGGAATAGATTTACTCGATACTTGCCAATGCGTAAAGAGAGAGAACAAGAGAAAAAGAAAACGTTCTTCCTCAATTTATTTCAAATTTTATGCGAATTTTGTTGAAACATATCTTTGGTTGAATACTGTCAAATTCATATTACATGTGTTAATGCCAGATTATTATTGCTTTCGAGTGATGAAGATGTATAAAGAGAATGAGACCCTAGCTTCGATAATTCTTGTATTTTTTTCTACATATATTTCTCTACAATTTAGCATCTTAAAAAGAAGAAAGTTGAATTTGCATTACTCGAAATATAGTTACGAAGAAGAATACAAAATTGCAAACCGTATAGAAATGACATTAGTTGCATATATAAGTCTGGCCTTTTTCGTTTCGTTGGTAATGTCTTTAATGGCTTCTTTTTCGATGTATTCGTCAATAAAAAAACTGAATGGAAGCGATTTTGAAGCAGTTACATGTTCTGTTAATGGAGCAATATATTATATATATGCAGTAGGACAAATTCTATGTCTTCTACTATATTCGGCTTATGTATATTTGTTTGGTCGAAGAGGTTGGAAAATTTATCCGAAGAATTAAGAAAGACAAAGGTTACAATGGGCATGTTGGCAAACTGGTTACAAATCATTATGAACAAACACACAGAATTATGGGAAGTTTACCAAATGTTCAGCGAAACATTTTACTGGCTGGTTCCATTAGTTTATACTTGTTTACTATATCTCAATTGCTTTTTTAGTTACGGCGCTATTTTTGGACACATGAATTCTAATATTAAAATAATCATTATTATCGTTTCTTTACTGTTTAATGTTGTATTTATTCTGGCAGCCTGGCTACTATCAAAAGCAATGTTAAAGGTGAGTATTAATATTTAATTTATTTGGAAAGTAATGTAATTTGTTAATTTCTGGAAATAAATATCTTTCTGTGATACAAAAATAGTTATTTATAAATTGACATTTTTTAAATTATTATATAAGAATATCATTTTGTATTTGTGCAAGTGACGTTTCTAACAGTTGAAAGTCTACAAATAAGCCACGCGCGAGCGTGAATATTTAGACATAATAATCCTCCTTCTATGCTGTAATTTTAAAAGACAGTTACTTCTTTTAGTTTTACGTTCTAAGCTGTTATAAACAATGGAGGGAAAGTATGGAGATCGTTAAAAAATTAACCCCCAAGATTTTTACATTTTTGTACTCACGGGACCCTAAAACTTCGATAAATATAAAAAAAAATTAAGGTTTTTACTTCATGTTTTCATGTTAGCGTGTGTGTGTTTCTGTGGTTAAGTATCATAACTTTGTTGACCCTGTTTGAAGCTTAAATACTTTCGTGTTTTTTACGGAAGATTTTCGAATGGTTTCAGGTCAGTTTGTTTATTGAGGAATTAAGTCTATCAAATTTTGGTGGTTCATATTCGAGGGAGTGGGGAGACAGAGGGGGATTGTGCGTATACCTAGTAGTTTATGACAATTGTTTAAAAGTGTTATGACAATAGTAGTATTGAAAATTGTTTTTAAAACCCATCCCTACTTCCGAAATTAAGTTTATTGCCATTTTGTGATAAGTAAAAATATAAACATTAAAAAAAATATATAAAAACAGATTGCGCTACCAAATATTTCTGAACAGTTCATAATGGAGTTTTTAATTATTGTACACAATTAAATTCAAGGAAATAACTTAATATAAATGACTACTGAAACTGCCTTGATGTTTAGTGTCATATCTTATAGATCGCGTGAATGACTAAACGTGTAATGCTCATTCATTATTTTCATCGAACAATGGACAACGTTGACATTAGAAACTGAGAAGTATTTTTTTCCGTAGTATTTTTCAATCAATTATTGATTTATCTCTAAATGGAAATGAAAGTAAATTATTTGAAAACAGAGTAAAAGGGTTCACGTGTTAATTTATTAGCACGAAAAATGTCTTTACTATTTATAAATTTTCTTAACATTTCAGATACACGACGATTTCAGTTCAGTTGGTAAAATATTCCCCGCTGATGTACAAGCAGAATTCAAATTCAAGGTAAGCTTAAATACACTTCAATTGNAAACTCATTTCTATACGGTTTGCAATTTTGTATTCTTCTTCGTAACCATATTTCGAGTAATGCAAATTCAACTTTCTTCTTTTTAAGATACTAAATTGTAGAGAAATAT